ATGATATCTTATGCATTCCAATTTCAAATGTTGCCCCAGAAATTACATTTGTAGATATGATGGATCTTGAACTTGAGACAATGAAAGAAAATGTTATGAAAGTTAATATCTATGAAAATGAAAGGGATGATGGTAATATGTCAATCAACATAGAAAATTAATGCTTTGTTAACATTGAGAAGTTTGAATTTCTATTAAATTTCTTGCAAACAACCTAATATTGATCGTATATGTATTAATACTTATCATTTTGACATTGAGGTTTGTTTATTTCATTAGCTTGGCATGACATTACCTGAATGAAGATTATGGAATGATGTATTTGATGATAAATTTTAGTAATTAAAATATATGTTTTTTCTTTTGGAATGAAATGATGGCAATTTGCATGTTGATTTATTTTGTATGGTAATTAGCTGTTTGGATGACATGTTGGTGGTATCCATGCACTCTGTAGTATGTTTCTCTTTTAGACAAATTGGGTGCTACTTTTGTGAATGTATTGTTGGTATGAGATATGTGGTTTATTCTCTATCATCTTTTAGCTGTTACAGGTTCTCTCAGATGTATTGTTGTTCTCTCGGATGTATTATTGTCGGTTTCTAGAATTGAAAGATTTTTTATACATAACTCTTCTTTGTTTTTTTCTTATTGCTCAGACGATGATGAGAGGTTTGTTGTCTTATCACCATCCAATCTTATTATAACAGTCTAATTTTGCTTCATTTACACCTCTGAGATCTTTCATACCACATGGAAAATAGCTTTTTTTTTTTAACTTTTAAATACTGAAATACACTTTTTAATGCGTAGGAAAAGTGGTATATATATATAGGAATTGTGTGGATGAATGTAAATCTTTCTATTTTTTGTTTCTTCATTTTGTTAAGGACTTTTCAAGTCATTCCCACGAAAAAATATTACCTCAGGTGTACTGATGCATCAGTACTTCAATGGAGATGTGTCACGTGGCATTATGATGAGACCATTGAATATGTAGCACTTCCTCATTGGAGTACTGATGCATCAGTACTTCTGAGGTAATATTTTTTTCATTCCAACAGCACTGGTTTAGACCTAGTGCTGATCTTTTCAATGGAAGCACATGGTATTATTTTTTCTGCATTTTCCAACCTTATTAGCTTCTCTCAAGCCTTAACTAGTATTATTATTTCTCTTCAAGTAATTACCAACATTTTTTTTTTTCATAAACGAAGCTGCTTATCATTTTATATAGACAAAATTGAGACATTCATACCTGGGTTCCACAAATTGGTCATTGAGTATTTCCAGCGTGCAACAATTTCATTGCAATTTACAAAATCTGCTATTACATACATATCCCCCGAAAGATTGCTATTTACAAAATCTGGCATTTATACGAGATATGTTTTAACGACCGAACCGATATGTTTATGTTTGCCACGATAAAACCGTCGAGAATTTGATAAAAATAAAGCAGGTATGCGTTGGGTTTTTAAGATGAATTTTAATATTATAGTGAGAAATTGAAAAAATGGATGAAAGACGGTGCAAGATTTTGTAAATAGCAATGTTTTAGAATAAAAAAAATTTCACAATGAATCTTCCTCGAATAAACCACAAATTAATTATTTGAAATCAACATAAAATTTTAAGTCAATCTTATCCCTATTTATTTTGAATTATAATCCTTGCTTTTCCATATTTTTGAGAATCGGAAATACTTTGTTTGCTCTTAAAATTTATAATAAAAAATATTATATTATGATATCTTTTCTCCAATCATTATAGGTCCTCATGAGCGAACAATTTCTTCTTAATTTGCGATACTGCTCAAAATGCAAGGGTCTGTTTGGGGCAGCTCGTGCTTTTCAGGATAAACAGCTTTTCCTGAAACGCGGCCCGCAGGTCTACTCGCGACCCGCGTTTAGTGTAAAAAACACAAAAGCTGCAGACAACGTTTTCAAAAACGCACAAACCAAACGGTCAGGTGGTGTTTTCAAAAATACCGCCGCACTTATAAGCTGCCTCAAATGATGATATTTTCGATGATAAAAGGAAAATTTACATATATACCACACAATTATTATATGCTTATAAATATGCACATGTTAGTGTCATAAATCTACATAAGAAAAAAATTTCACTTTTTTTTTAAAGATAATGATGGTGATATTTCTATGTGATTTAGAAAGTTTGAGTGAATGCTTAATTAGTGGTAAGATATATAAATATCTAAGAATTGTGCGGTACATATGTAAATGGCCTTAAAAACCCCCATTTCTGTGCTAATAAAAAAATATTACATCAGGACTTCTAACGTAAAACTACATTCGGAGTCCAATGAAATGACTCGGGTAATAGAAAAAAAAAATTGTTTCGGCGCAAGGGAATATTCTCGCTGTGTTATTCCGCATTATTCAGGTGTTATTGTGGGGTATTCATGTGTTATTATGTTGTGAAAATATTTCCGATGTTATAATAACACAATAACACATCAATAACACCACAATAACACCTGAATAACGCCGAATAACACAGAAGGAATATTCTCCTATGTGACTGGGTCAAATCACAGGAAAACGCGTGAGTTTTCTTGAAGCCACGTGTCTGCATATCAATGGACTCCAAACATAACTCTATGTTAGTAGTCCTGCTGTAATATTTTTCCGAGCTAATTCGCTTGAGAAGAGACAATAATAAGCGTTTAAAAAGGAAAAGATCATTAAGTGTTTATAAAAGAAGGGACTCATTCGACACAATAAAAACAAGAGAGTTAGTTTATGAATAATTCAATTCATGCCTAATCCATCGTATAAAGATAAGAAAGATAAATATTATAAATTTGTGGCATTTCATACGTCCTAAAACTCGCCCTTGAAATACTCATAAGTTGGTAATATTCTCCATCCAAAAGAAACATATCTCGAGTCAAAATAGAGCAATTAATAAGAAAGTAACATAAAATTAGAAAATTTGCTTTGACATTTGAAACTTGGGAGAAATTTTGATGTTCTTTCTTCTCTTAGGGCCCGTTTGAGGCAGCTTATTTGGTGCGATCACGTTTTGAAAACACACCTGGTCTGTTTGGGTAAGTTGTGTTTTGGCAGCTTATGCGTTTTGAAAACGCCGAAAACAACATTTTCACACTACACCTATCTAGTGTGGTGATAGTTTTCTGACAGCTGTCTGACTTTTCCCAAAAAATAAAAATTTGTAATAACCACCGCACTTAGCTTAGCAACATATTATTTTTAATCAGCTTATCAATATATTATTCAATAAGTTATAGCTGCCCCAAACAGACCCTTAATCCTGTTATAACTCTAAATAATATTCATTTTTTAAACTCATTTGTTCTTAAATAACTTTTTGTCCTGTCTTAGATTGCTCCATCAGAAGTTTATTAAATGTATCATTTATTTATTTATGGGATAAATCATTTATCATATCACACATCAAGTTGGCTCAATTAAAAATTTTAATTTGCCTTGTTTAACAATTTATCTTAAAAAATTACCAACTTCTCTTAATTCAAATGCTACTATCTTATTTGGATAAAGTTGTTTCTTTTAAATTTTAGGGTTCCTAACTTATTATTTGTGGTTGATTGATGTTAGAATTGATAGTTAAGGAGTCCAATATGATTATTTTGTTGGGGCCATTAACATGCATACCACTCAATTTCTATATATTTCCATACCTAACACCTAAATTTCACTTTTCACATCTATACCACCAAAATCTTTCATATCACATGAAAAATAGCATTTTTTTAACTTATAAAAAGTAAAATGCACATTTTAATGCATAGGAAGAGTGGTATATTTATAAAAAAATTAATTTTAGATGTTAGATACATAAATACAAAGGAATTGAGTGGCATGCATGTAAATCTTCCTATTTTGTTTCTTCAATTTATTAAGCACATTTAGAAGTCATTCCTTCACCGCTGGTTTAGACCCAGCGCTGCATGGTAGAATTTTTTCTGCACTTTCCCAACTTGCTAAGTCTCATTAACTTGTATTATAATTTCTCTTCAAGTAATTACCAACATTTAATTCATAAACGAAGATTTTTATTATTTTATTTTGACAAAATTGAAATATTCATAGTTGGGCTTTACAATTTGGTCATTGAATGGTTCGAACCTGCATCAATTCTTCAAATTTAAGTTTTAATAGCTAAATTTGTACCACTCAAATCTTCAGCATCGCATCAGAAAGATCATCATTTTATCTTTTTTTAAAATTAAAATATGCCTTTTCATGCATAAGTTTATGACATTAAGGTGTTATAGGTGTGAATTCATAAGAATTGTGTGGTATGTATGTAAATTTCTCATAGAAATATTGGATCAAAATTCAGTAGGCTGCTAACTGCAAGAGCGATACCTTACCAAAATTCAGTAGGCTGCTAACTGCAAGAGCGATACATCACAAAAAAAAAAAACTACCCAATCTGAATTGACTCTAATGATGCAATAAATATGCATTGCAAAATGAGGCATTCCATAGCCTCTTACAGAATTGAACATTTTAGGTACAGATGATAGGAAATTGCAAAAAAAGGCTAAATTGCAAAATTAAGAAGTCTGTACATCCTTTCTATTCCTCCTTTTTTCTCGAGGCCAAGAGAGAAAAAGGTGACAATACTACTGTTGCACAATAGAGAAAGGAGACGTTTACATGACCACTACTTGGTTCTACAACTAATACACTACTTGTGTATCCAATAACGCTACACTGAAAAATACCTCCTTTGCCAAATGGACCTAATCATCTTCTCTTTAGATTTCCGCAGAGGTTCTGAACCTTCTCACTTTGGCGCTTTAAATACAATGGCTGTGTACTCTTTAACACTGATACACTGAAAAATGCCTGTTTTTCCAAATGGAGCTCAGCGTCCTTCCAAGCTTCTTAGCTTTTGGTTTGCAAAGCGGTTTTGACTCGGGCATTACTGCACACTCACCACTGTTCTCCTCCAGCTGCTCCTGTTGATATATTGAAGGCTCGCGCTGCCGTTGCTCCCTAAACAGCTGCAGCAGCTTCAGAGCCTTCTCTCTTCCTTTGGTGCTACCACTAACGGATATTGAAACCAGTGCTGGTATTACACCTTCTTGAAGAACCGCGTGGCTGCAACTGTCATCACCATTGCATAGAATTAGAAGGCAGGAGACAACCTGCTCTTGCTCCAATGGCTCGCCAGTGTCCAGAATCATGGCAAGGTTAGCAATCAGGCCTTGTGTTGATACCATCTCTCGCTTTCCAGCTTGTGTTGAAGCTATGTTTATGAAGACGGTAAGCACTTTCTCGGTCCATGCAGAGCCTTCCTCGTCTTGAGGACTCGAGGTAAGTAGGGCTAAGAGAGCATTGACGATGCTGGAGTCGAGGAGAGGTTGGATGTTGGAAGGATGAGTGGAAAGGTTGTAGAGGGTGTGCAACGCATCATGCTTACCAGAGCTGATATGGAAGCCGTCAGATTGCAGGGACTGAACAAGGAATGGAATGGCGTGGCTCGAGCCAATGATGGGTTTAGCTTCATCAAGGAAAGAGAGGTTGAGGATGACAGCAGTGGCAAACTGCTGAGTTGAAGGCTTGGAGATCATTCTCTGTAGGAGCGGAATTGTGTCCAAAGACAACAAACTTTCCTTGTTCCTGAAATGGGATGAGCCATAAATATATAAACTGGTTAGAAATCATGATGTTTCAATATTTTAAACTCATAAAAATCATAATTAAGTGGTTCCCAATTCAAGTATTTATATTAAATGAGAACTTTTCCACCAAAAATAAGCTAAAAAAGACGTTTTTTACCTGTTATTGTTGACAGCAATGTTGAAAAGAGCCATGGCACCAATTTCCTGAGCCTTCTCGTCCCCTTCCTCAATTGCTGATTTCAAAAACTGGACGAGGGCCTCAACAAAACCATTTGCACCCATATATATTCTCGCTTCCTCATCATCCTTCAATAGTAACCTTATTTGCTCCACTGCTTCGCATTTTCTACTCATGCTCTCGCTTCCATAAAGCACAGCAAGCAAGCTCTCGTATATCTGAAGACCATCCTCTTCAAAAGCTTGACAACATCCATCATTGAAACCACCCATCTCGCCCTCTAAGGTCTCCTGAAGGGAGCTGCTGGCATCGAACGGAGCTATCTCCGTCTCTTTGAGCGAGCATGAATTCCTATCTGTTGCCTCAGATTCTGATAATAAATGTCTCCAGTAATCAGATTCAAGAGGCTCTGGAGAACCATCAGGAATGGGGACGCCATTTTGTTCGCACCAACTAGCAATCAAGCCTTTGACGCAATAATTTGGAGTCAATGAAAGGTGAGACAACTTTTGCTGAGTTCTGGGGCAGGTACGATGCCCAACATTGAACCACTGCTCGATGCAAGCACGTTCGTATGTTTGTCCGGACGAAATAATGACCGGGTCGTACATGAGCTGAAACGAGATGGAGCATCTCAACTCCTCGGGAGGTACGGGCAAGTCTCCAAATATCACACCGCTCTGCTTGGAGTTGAAAGAACTGGGACTACTGATCTGTTTATCAAATGCTTGACCAAGCCCGCCTGATCTAGAAATATCATCTAGAGATCCTAACATGGTAGGAGAGCAAGGAGCGGATCCCTGGGAATCAGTATCATCTGAAATCTCACCTCTGAAAAGCTTCGAGTACTTTCGCAGAAGATGCATGAGATAAGAGACTATGGATTCCTTACGTTTATCATTCTCAGCACGAGCTCTTTCAATGAGCTTCTTGAGAGCTCTTCTCTCAACAAGTGCGGCACGGGAAGAAGTGATGCCAAGCCTTGATGCAGCTTGGTGGAAGATTTCAAGTTCGTCGTTACAATTTGGACTACTGTTTCCTTTCCTTTCTTTCTGAAGTAATGAAATCACATCATTTCCAATCTGCTTCTCCGACTGATCAAGCTCAAATACAACACTTTCGAGCTCATTAACGATCTCCAGGATCTGGAAAAGAATAACAGTCAGAAACAATCTGCTAAAAGAAAAGTTTCCATATGATAGTAAAGCGCTTACCAGAAGAAAAATCAAGTTTTTTAAATATATCTGAATAAATATTTAAAATATTCCCCTGACCGCCTATATGGAGCATTTCAGTCCCAGAGTCTAAAGAAAATGTTAAATTCATCCCTATACTCTTTAAATTGGGGTTGAAATAGTCCCCTTCCATATTAAAAAGGTTTGGGAATTATATTGGAATTTTTAGAGAAACTCAGACTAGAATGACTCCCTGCCAGGTGTCAGGGAACTATTTTGACACTTCCCTTAAATATTCAACAAAAATGCCCTATTGGCACTTATAGTGCTATTATGAATTATTGAGTTTGGTGTTTTATTAGGGGTAAGAAAGATGACCACCAGAAGAAAGTGCAGCGACTAAACAATCATATTTCACTTCATGGCATTTGTTCGTCATTTGGGAATGCAAATGCCATATAAAACACTGAAAAGTGGCAAGTGATGACTAAACATTATATTTTGTATATAATTACTTACTAATATTTTGATATTATAAATTAAGAATTTCCACTGAAATCATACATCACTGTTTTTGAAAGCATTTATTCACATTGCACCTTCAGTCTACAATATGAGCTGCATCATCTAACAAGTTAGCTAACTTTAATATATTCAGCTATCGATGGCATCAACATCAATGATGACGAAATAAGATCAACTCTAAAACTATAAAACTATTGGAAGATTTACATAAAAGCCACTCAATTCCTATGCATTTACATATCTATACCTAAAATTCAATTTTTACATATATGTCACTTAACCTATGCACGAAAAGGATATTTTTAGTTTTAAAAGTTAAAATAGTGGTATTTTTTATGTGATCTGAAAGATTTGAATGGTAGAAATATGAAACACAATGTTTAGATGTTACTTATGTAAATACATAGGAATCGGGTGGTGTGAATGTAAACGCCCCAAGAAAATTTTCATGCCAGACAATGAAAACAAAAGTGATCTTCAGCTTAACAGGCTGTCTAATCATTTTGAGAGATAGCTGATGATCAAGGACATCGAATATATGGAGAACACATGGACATGGCATTGATTACATCGGAAACTCAAAAAAAAAAAAAAAAAAAAAAAAAAAAAGAGTAGGTGGTGGAGCCTAAAATGCGAATTGTGTTGATTCCAATTGGAAGTAAACTCAAAAAAAAAATTTTAAATGTCTAACAGCCCTATTAAAAATGCGCATCTATATATTATATATATATATATATATATATATAGATAGATAGATATATACATCAGAACTAATATAATAATGACCCCAACAATGTGAGAAATGGCATAACTTTCTTGGTAAACCCATCAATATAAACATCATTAAAATCAAGATTAGATGGTGAAAACATGATGCAATCTTAATAATACTATTCTAAAACCTAAAAGTTTATCAATTCAACTAACGCAATCTAATTTTCATACAAACAAACAAACTTCAAGTACTAAAAAACAATAAAACATAACCCACCTGACAACCAATATTTTGTGGGACAATGTTCTCAACACGTGTAAGACTGTCTAGGAGAGAGCTTCTTGCTTTCTCAAATTTCATGAGAATAGAGTCGCCAGTAATGGCCTGTAAATTTTAAACAGGGGCGAAAAAACAATAAGTAAAAGCTAGCCTGTTACTTAAAGCAGAAAAAATGAGTTCAGCCATACAAACAACATATCCTTGGACAAATTAAGATGCAAAATCCTTTACAACGTTGAAATTCTTCGAGAAGAAGGTTTCAATAAACAGAGGTCAATAACACAAAACTGAATATTACATTCCAGAATCAGGCCTATTATGATATTGGGATGCCATTATTCACCATTAGTAAATATCAAAGATCATTGTTAAGAGCAAGTTCAGAGTGAAAAGTGGGAATGGAAATTACAAGTCAGTCTAAAAAGATCAATTTCATAAAAATAAAAAATTCAAAATTTGCCTGTAAGTAAATAAAATAAAAAAAAAAGTCTACCAAAAAGCATATCAAGTTGCAGAGAAAAGAAGAGCCACCACACATGCTAATCATGAGTTTGGGCTATCACAGAAGAAAGCTGAACTCACTAAATAAAGTTTGCTGCATTCCGAGCAATGCTGAAGAAGACTTTTTGCTCTATCAAGCGCTACATGTAATGCACAAAGTGATTGTATTCCAGATTTGCTTCGAGGTCTTGAAGCTTCAATAAACGGAAAGATCTCCAGCACTTTACCAACAATCAAAGAGAGTATCTTACACAATCCTCCATGCAACTACATGAGAAAACCACAAGATCAACAAAAACATCATCAAAATAAGAGATTACGACCAAGTTGGTACTTTTTCAGAATACTCAAAAGCTGAATAAAAGATGGATCGGTAGTCTTGCTAACAATTCAGATAAGAAAATTCACAAATAGAAGAAGGAATCGAGTTGTAATGATGAGAGAGATTTATTCCCCTCCCCTCCATGATCTTCCAGAAATAATAAGAGACTACAGAATTTTACTATGGTAAAACTATTAACTATCCAATGAATTAGTAGTAGCGGCGATCAAAAGATGAAACAGAAAAAGAAAAAAAAAATCATTGGTAAAAATTAAATGGTATTGCCCAATCAATTAGTAGTAGCGGAAGTCAAAAGAAGAACAGAATAAGGAAAAAAAAAATCATTGATAAGAATTAAATGGTCAATTTAAGCAAAAAAGAATGAACTAGTACAAAGTTAGTAGTTAAGAAATTATCCATTATAATGCAAGTAAAATACCTCTAAAATCAAGCTCCTGAGCATACTTAAAAAAGCTCTGAAGCATACCTCTACAGTTCTAACAACCATACTTAAAAAAAGCTTCATAACAAAAAGAAACCTTTGCCACATTACCTTCGCATCGCCAACAATAGAAAACTTCTCTTCAATCTCAGAAGAATCCATCAACGCTTCCTCAAAAGACTCCAACGCATATCGATTAATCACCTTTAAAAAACTGTCACAAGTATCAGAACAGCAAGAAGAGCCGCAAATCGCCAAAAAAATACACCAAGTTCTCCCAAAAAAACACGATGCAATTTCAAAATCTCATGAAAACTTAAAGTGGACAGATTCATAAACCTATTTTTCCTCCTTTTTCCCAGCACGGCCACATCAAAACCTACTAATAGATAAAGAAAATTTACCCATGACTGTTTCAACTGCGACAACTTGAAAATATCGATTGCGCGATCCATGGCGCAGGATATGGAAACCACATCGATGGAGCCACGAAATCGCCGACCGCCAGTCTCAGAAGAAGACGGAGGAACTGACGGCGCCGACACGGCGACAAGACGAATGGACGGTGAGATGAATGCGCACAAGGCCTTCGAACTGGATACAG